TTTAAAATTCGCGAAAATTCATAACAATAATCTATATGTTTTTTTTCTCAAATAAATTGCTAAAAATATTATCTAAATCTAAATTATGTATTCAAATCGATGTGTCCATTGAAACACATAATTTTTCGAATACCCAAAAAAGCGAAAAAGAATGATCATATCCTTTGTAATCGAAAAAATTTTAAAATTAAAAAAAATATGAGAAATGATAAAAACTTATCAACTTGGTACCAACTTTGGATACAATAAACAACAGTATTCGTCTGATAGTCTCGTAAGATATCTACCGGGTGTGGGGCGCACACATGTGCTTTTTATACCCGAGCGCACTCGTGCACAAGGGTATTATAACTTTGTTCACATAACGGTTGTTTGTAACAGGCAAAACGAATCGAGATAGATATAGACAAATGTATACATAAATGATCAGGATAAAAAGAGAAATCGATTAAGCGGTGACTGTCTGTCCGTCCGTCCGTCCGTCCGTTTGTGCACACGATAACTCGAGTAAAAATTAAGATATCTTAACGAAACTTGGTACGTGTACTTCTTTCGGGCGTAGGACGGATGGTATTGAAAATGGGCAAAATCGGACAATAACCACGCCTACCTCCCATATAACGGTAATTTTCAGAAATACAAAAACTGCGATATTTTAGTAACTACTGAAGATAATTCACTCAAAATTGATATTTATAATAAATTTTAGACGAAAAATAAGAATATTAACATTTTTTTGAAAATGGGCGTAGCCACGCCCACTTATGGTTAGATGTGTATATCTTGGTAACCGATGCATCAATTTATTCCAAACTTGGCACAGTTGTTCGCCCTGGTACAGCATACCAAATGGCCGAAAATTTTTAAAATCGGACAGTAACCACGCCCACGTCCCATATAACGGTAATTTCGAGAAATACGAAATCTTCGATAAAGCAGTAAATATTAAAGCTAATTTATTCTAAATTGATGCTTGCAGCAATTCTTTACCAAGAAATACGTTTCTGATAAAGTTTTGGAAAATGGGCGTGGCACCGCCCACTTATGATCTCGTATATGTATCTCGGTAACCGTTCAACTAATTTGTACCAAACTCTGTATGGTTATTGTGCTTGCCACATAAAAGCAAAACGTTCAAAATTATTGAAATCGGACTAAAATTACCGCTTTTCATATAACGGTGAATTTTAGAAATGCTTGAAACTTCAATATTTCGAAATTTAAGGACGCTGGTTTACTCAAAATTGATAAACCCCGGATTACGATGTAGCGGTAGCTTTCGGGAAGGTGGAAAACATATATTTAATATTTGCGCCGGGTATTTAATGTTCGGCTCCGTCCGAACTTAAACTTTCTTACTTGTTTTAAGAAGTTTTACTTCTATCACGTGTACGGTGTTGCACTCGTGCTATTAAACTAATGCTTTTTTCTCAAGTAGTTTTGCTCAGTGGCAATTTATACATATGTACACGGTCAAAAATTTGGGTTTAATTTTTAAACCGCGCTGGGACTACTGCCTTTTTCAAACTTTTATAGTCTACTTTTTAAACCATTCAATAGTTTTACGCAATTTTTAATATATTCTGGTTAAAATTTATCCCAAAAAGTTCGTGGTTTAAAAATCAAACCAAAATGTTTTAATTCTAGTTTCTAGGTTTCATATATAGAAAATTTGGTTTAAAATCTAAACCGAAATAGAATATGTTTGCACAGCGAATTGTGGTGTTGATTCAAACTCAACATATGAAAGCACATTTACATGCGTGGCTGTAGCTGAGTGTGCAAAGCTGCTTGATACAATTGGTTACTACCAAGGCTGTCCGGGTTCAATCCCAACCAGACGGAGCATGAAATTTAAGATTTTTTTTTTTATTCTTAATTATGAAAATGTTTGGGTTTAACATTTAAACCGAATTGTTTAAATTCTAAACCCAACATATGTGCTCTCTTTTTTTAAACTTGGAAGGTTTGTATTTGAAACTGAATTTAGTTTGGTCATATATGTAGTCCAAAAAGTTTAAAATTAAAACCGAAATTTTTAACCGTGTATGTAAGTAGTAGCGGCACATTGGGTGAACTAAATGCATTCATACATACATATTTATGTACAACTATAAGTAAATACCAGGTAGGTTAAGTGCGGGTGATAAACCCATGTAGTATAGTTAAATACTGTGTACATACCTGCAATTAAAATGGGGAAAAATGTTACAATTTCGGCATATGACTGAAAAAAAAACTCTAAAATACACACAAATTGTGGTTTCCAAGACATGTACGAAGTGATTAGCACAGCTGCATCCTTCAACTTGTCAACCCGCGGGAAATTCCCCCATTTGCAGGGAATTTTGGTTTAAGTGGCAATCGGGGAATGGGCGATTTTTTTCGGGGAACTGGGTATGTTATTTTTATATCTTACAGTAACCAAATTTGACGGATATGTTAATTTTTAACTATTTGACCCTTTTCGGAGCGATATTTTTTCAATTTTAATAGCAATACCTCCACAACAGGAGTTTTCCCAGATATAAACTATATACCAGATGAAAGCTAAGGTTTTGTGCTAGACTTGAGGGAACTTAGAATAAAATCGACTGACCAGTTTTTGAGAAAATGCCCGAAATCTCTATTTTCAGCAGCCCGATTTTTAGTTTTCAGGCGATAACGTTATGGCGTATTTATATTTTATAAACACAAAGACCCTTCTACTGATATCCACATCAATGACATGGACTGACACTACTCAGTCGTAGTTTAAAAAATTGCCTTTTTTCGAATTTCAGGCAGCAGCCACGCCCACAAAGGCATACGAATCAAGATATCCTGGAACAAAACCTTCTTAGTTTTTTTTTGTACTTTAATTTCTGAAAGTTTGAACTAAACTAAATGAAGGTACGTACAGACGCCACATACATACCAAAGCATCTCGTAGTAGAGACACGAACCAAAACACATTTACCTCTATATCTTTCCAACTAGTAGCCGGCACTTAATATATAAGGTATCGTTTGAAAGGTATTGGCCTATAGAATAACAATAAATATGTTGGGTGTGTCCACATGCCCCCTTAAACCGGCAAAAGCAAAAAAACGTTTTTTGTTTCGCAACACTTTAGCCTAATTTTTTAGAATCCGGTTAATCGTTTATGAAGCTTGAATACATTTTCTGGACACACTCTGCAAGACCTTTCCAACGATATCTCAAACATGTCGATTGGACGTCTGGCTAAAAACTTCCAAATCTCGTGTATATATAAGCGAGTCATTTCAGCATGCTACGGCTGCTTTCGTCACTCTCGCGCACTACCGTGCGCTGTGATATATATGACCCACGAACCAAGACCAAACTAAAATTTTAATTTGGGTAAAAATTTTTAACATCGGGTGAGCAACAATTTATCGATTCGAGAAATTAATGCGCTGATGAGAAAACGAAAACTCGTATATCGAGACGATAAAGTGGCCGGTAATCTAAAGGTTAGATGAGAAAACGGCCCTAAGCCAGAAAGCCAATTTTCATTCTCCAATTGCGGGTAATGTTCCGATCTCAATTTGCGTATGTGTATATAAAAAGAATAAAATAAAAAACAACACAATGGAAAAGAATGTCCAGCAAAGAAATATGTATTTTAAAAAGTAATACGAGCCAAAATGTTCTAAGCAAAGAGCCGCGTTTGCCCACCGTTGGTATATACGTTTCCAAAATATATCGTATGTGATACAGCAAAAAATCTAAATCTGGCGCTTAAATGATCTATCACCAGCATCCGTTCGCTTCTGTTAATCTATAGTAATTTTGTTTAGAAAAATGTAACATTTATAGATGCATTCTTGTTCAGGCTAGAGACCATATAAGTGCCAAAAGTACTAATTGACATATACCGTTTTGCAGTGTCACTGGCGATATGGAGTGATAGGTGTGCTTCATCGGCTTACGTAGTTGTCCACGATATAATAGGAGTGCGATGTGTTTTGACCAGTTTTGAATATTTTTGTTTTGTTCATTTACTGTTTAGTATTTTTTTTATAAAGGTCTAGCTGGTCAAACAACAAACACCAACTTTGTACAAAAATTATAAAAATTCTGCAGTTTCACCAAAATTTCAAACTTTTTAATCAGTATCTTTAGAAAAAATTTTAGTATTAGGAGGGCAAGTTTTCAGCTGCTAAAAAATCACTTTGATTTTTTGCAATTTTTTTCTGGCAGTGCCTTCCACATAAAATAAATTTGTGGAACATACTTTGTAGGGGAAATATGCCAGGAAATATATTGTACCAACCATAGTTCTCACATATCGCCCAGATGAAATTACAGAGATCCGCAAGAGCTGTTTTCCGTTATCACTGCGAAGTTGCTTAAAAATCTAGTCCCAAATTTTTAATTTGCTTTGACTGGAGACCGGGACAGCGACATAAAGTAGTGCGAATCGGTTATTTTTCTTTTTCACCCAGAATTTCTTCGAATGACCCCCAGTAAGTGGCTTTATACATACATACATCTCCAATAGAAATCTACCTGGTCATAGTCGACTGCGTTTTCACATGCACCAAACCAATCTGATCGCACAATCAGAGTGCTGGTTAATGTCAGGATTAGGACTGTTCTTAGGGATGCAAAAGATATTTTAGGTCGCGGTATCCAACCACTGAAACCGACTGGTTAGAGGCGCGTACTTCTATTTACCTCTATCTCTTATGTTTATACTACATACATATGTTCATATGGATTTGTGTGGTTTTTTACAAATGTGTTACTGTTTAATTTGCGGCTTTGAATGCCTGATGTATGTAGATACTATTTATACATTGAATTTAATAATACAACCACTGTATTTTATTCTTCAATTTCGAAAGGCGGGTTAAGGTATGAGGTACTATGATTAAATACATACAAAGACCCTCTGAATAAATAACTATTCTACAAGGTTAGGTATTAAAAAGTTCATTTAATTTCAAGCGAAGCAAGAGTATCCACAAAATCCAAAATATTGTTCAACTTACTTTGTGCAATAGGCTGAACGCATATTCTAGTCCAGCCGTAAAATTAGCTGTATTCTGAAGCTTTATAGCCTTTACCGCTGATTTTATTTCTTGAACATTGTCTGGGGTGGCGCGCACCATACGATCCTTGAAACATGGCACTGGCGTTTTGATTTCCTCCGCAAATGTGATCAAATTTACAAAATCATCCTCGCCTAGTGTATCAAGTATATTGAAAGCAGTAGCCGTTGCAAGATCGAACGACTTATCCGACATGCTCGACGAAGAGTCAAGTAAAATCATCTGGAATGGGAAAAGATTGTTTAGCTCATGTGTGGTTTGCAAACAAGTCTTTTAATTTACAATATCCTTGGGGGAAGATGCTGCCTGCACGAACCAATTTTGCGTGCGAAAATCATGGATCTGCTTGCTGCCTTTCGAGCCTTCTGGCGGCCAAGCGGTGCCGGGGAAACGACGTAGAAAGCCAGTCGATGAACCAAAATACTGCCACGACAGAGCTGGATCACGTTCGAGATTATTTTGAAAGAGTGGGTCCAGGTGCGCGCTCCACTGCAGTGCCGCCTTGACATCACCGTCGTCGAGTGAGACGCCATTCGGCACCAAAATCGAACTAAGACTGAGATTGACAGGCAAACGTTCAAATCGGCGCATAAAGCGTATGTCCATGTGGCGTGCGCCGTCTGCCAATTTTCCATCCGAATTATATTCGTTAATGCGTCGCGCGTCGTAGTGCTGATTATTTGTCGTCGCTGAAGTGCTATGGGAATTTTGTGAGTCCAATTCGGAAAGTGCAGCTTGCTCGGCGGAGTCCATGATGCGCTGAATAACAAAACAAAACAAATGAGAAGGATGAATAAGCTGAGGCGAGCTAGTTTTTCAATAATTCAGTATAAATACATATACATATGCAATGAATATGGTAAATGTATTAAACCCTTAAGGAAAATAAATGGTGCCTGACTGTAAATATTTCCCACATGTACGTGCATGTGTTTATAAAAGCGCATGCTACATAATCAACCTTATCGTGAGTTTAGTTTTCGCCCGAAATCTTACACTTTTCTCGTTTGGCTTATGTATATTCACTACGGGCGAATGAAAAATTTCGGGCGAAACTCCAGATAATCCTGAGTGTAATGCTTTACAAATACTTTAATACTTAATTAATTTATAGAAACCCCTGCGTCCTTAGACTTCCATTTTCGCTGCTAATCTGTGGTTTGAAAATAAAAAGAAAAATCGCTACGAAGTTGTACTTCAAAAAAAGCTTGTTTTTGAAAATTTTTTTATAAGCTTTTATTTAACTTGGTCATCCCGCGGAAATCGCGGAAATTTCCAATCGATTTTAAACTAACTTCCCGACAAGTTAGCGACTTGAAATTTTCAGTATAGTGCCAATCACGATGACAATGCAATTTAAAATATAAATGAATTCTCTATATGGTCCAGGGGTCTTGATTTAAAGGCGGTCAAAAAATAGCAAGATTTATGGCTAACAGAGCGTAATTTGCCAAAGAACGTAAAACCACCATAAAATAGCAAAGCTTATTGTGGCAAATTCTAGATATCAACCTAGTCTAGATATGAACCTCGTTGTAGTCATCATATCAAAAAGATACAATTAGAAGACTCCAGATGTCGCCCCGCCAGAAGAAGTTAAATATTGTGCCTAAATATGTGCCATGCTACAGCGGAAATGGACGTCAAGCCATTTCTTTGAATAAAATTAATTGCTGCTATATGTACATATGTATGTACATATGTATGTTTATACAAAACGTAAGCAAACAACATTTTGCTTGTCAAGTCTTCTGTTCTCTTTCATTGCAAGTTGAATAATTTTAATATCTATTGCAACATTTTGTACATAAAACAAAATAACACTTTTTAATATACAACGCTTTTATAAATGGACTAAGAATTAGAAAATAAAATAATTGAAAAGAAATATTTTTTAAAAACAAGCTTTTATTAACATGTACAATCAAAGGAATAAAATAAAGTAGTGTAACAAAAGATTTTTTAGCAAGAAAATTTTGTCAAAACTGCACTAAAATGAATAAAATAAAATAAGTTAAGGTCTCGTTAAAGTTAATAAAAGCCATTTATTGAAAGGAGTTATTCAAACTCTAATGAAAATTACTAACAATTTGTACTAATTTACTTCGGTTTTAAAAAAGCTTGTCGGCGAATTCAGCATACATACATAATTGGTTAGGTATGTATATGTATGTACCCTGTAGTCAAATGTACTAGTTGTAAACTATCTCACAAGTAGTATGAACCGCATGCCCAACTAGTCAGCCAACTATCTTTTTTCCATGCAATCAACTGGTATTTTTAACATGGGGATGTCCTACGAGATGACAATTAACAGATTTCGGTCAGAAATATACCAGTCTCATACTAGTTCAAAATAGACAGAAAGTCTAATTATGGACCAAAACTACTACTTTGGGAGTAGAAAAATACAATGAATTCATGAATTCATGAATATACAATAAAAACTTTTGATTAAGTACACTTTAATACATTACACATTTTTATTTAGCACCCTTAGATTTGCCAATAATTAGTGTTAAATTTTTTGAGTATTAATTAAAAGGAAAAATAAATACATAAATATTTCAAACTTTCGAACATAAATTTAAATGCTTTTTCATTAAATGATATTAAAAGTAAAAGCTTTCAGGTACAAAAAATACTATATTTTTATATTTTTTAATAATATTGAATATGGATAAGAAAACACTTTAGTTAAAAATAAAACGATTACTTTAGTTAATTTTTGAGTGAACTAAAATAAAAATAAAAGTTTTCATTAAAATAAATTAAATTCATTATTCATTCAGTCGTTTCTTTTTAAAATTTTTTTAAAAGTAATAAATAAAGTTTAAAATTTTAGATTTGGATATAAAAAAATAAATAAATGATTCAAGCAGTTATTAAATATTCTTCATTTTTGTCTATACTTTGGCTTGTTGATTGATAATTGAAATTAATCAAATAATTATATTAATCGTGTAAGTAAAAAAGTCAAACATAATTGAAAATGATCAAAAATAACAAAATAATGATGTAATTAAAATTAACGAATTAATAAACATTTTTTGTTTAAGTAATTAATTATTAATCATTAAAAAGGTGCTAATATCGGTATTTAATCATTAAACGGTTATCCAAAAAAAAACATGCTTTAGTTATTTAATTAATCATTATGATATTATTTAATAGGTACGGTATAATTGCGAGTACGTACTCGCTTTAACGGCTGACAATATACCCAAATAAAAATTATAAGATTTTGTGTACTCTATTGTATTAAACTGTCGAATTCAAATAAAACAAGGCATGAATAAATCGTTTTGTACTTGGTACAAGTCTGGTCAGTTTCGTACTAGTTGGGTTTCAGTCAGGAAATTCTAGTTGTAAACTAGTATTTTTTTTTACTGCAGGGTATGTATGCAGATATTTAAATGCCGGTGTGCTATTCGCGCAACAAATTTTTTTAAAACCGAAGTAAGTTAGTACAAATTGTTAGTAATTTTCATTAGAGTTTGAATAACTCCTTTCACTAAATGGCTTTTAGTAACTTTAACGAGACCTTAACTTATTTTATTTTATTCATTTTAGTGCAGTTTTAACAAAATTTGTTTGCTAAAAAATCTTTTGTTACACTACTTTATTTTATTCCTTTGATTGTACATGTTAAACAAAAGCTTGTTTTTAAAAAATATTTTTTTTACATTATTTTATTTTTACATTATTTTATTTTATAATTTTTAGTCCATTTATAAAAGCGTTGTATATTAGAAGTGTTATTTTATTTT